GCGGGCACCCGCCCCTGTCTCTGGCAGGTGAAGCGGGAGCTGGGGGAGAACACGCCGCTGCTGTCTGATGAGGAGCTGATGGGGTTGTCGGTGCGGGAGCTCAACCACCACCTGCGGGGCCTGTCCAAGGAGGAGGTGGCGAGGCTGAAGCAGCGCCGGCGGACGCTGAAGAACCGGGGTTACGCTGCCAGCTGCCGGGTGAAGCGCGTCTGCCAGAAGGAAGAGCTGCAGAAGCAGAAGATGGAGCTGGAATGGGAGGTGGATAAGCTGGCCCGGGAGAACGCTGCCATGCGCCTGGAGCTTGACACCCTCCGTGGCAAGTACGAGGCCCTGCAGGGCTTTGCCCGCACCGTCGCCACCCATGGGACCCCCGCCAAGGTGGCCACCGCCAGTGTCATCACCATCGTCAAGTCCAGCACCAACCAGGCCGCCTATTCCTAGTGTCGGCCTCTGTCTCCCGGCTGGGCACGGCCCCCCAGGGCACCTTCCCCCACAAATCCCCTTCCTTACCTTCCCTGACCTCCTTCCCACCGGGACCTGTGCCTGAAATCCTCCTTCTCCCATCACTTGAACTCCAGCTCCTCCATGCAGGGAGAGCTGCTGCAGCGTGGGTGCTGGGGCAGAGGACAGGACCCCACTGGTGGCCCCTGAAGCCCTGCAGCCTCCTCCCCTCTGACCCAGTCTCGTCCCCTGCTGTAGCCCCCCTGGCTGGGCACCCCTCACCTGAACGGGTGCACGCAGGAGAGGGCGAGCCTGAACAGGCAGCAGTGGGGAAGTATCCCATGGCTCCAAGCTGGCACAAAAACACCAGGCACCTCTTGGATTTTTTTTTTTCGGTGAGGGCACGGGAGAGCTGAGTGTGGGCCAGGCACTCCCAGGAGCACATGCCAGGGAGGGAAAGGGGGAGAGAGGTTTCGCAGCGAGGGGCAGAAGGGATACAATGGAGACAGGAGTCGGCATTGACCCTGCAGCTTGGACCACAGCTGGAGCAGGTGGGGAGGTGGCAGCATGGCTGGGGCCTCCAGGGATGGAGATGGTAAGTCAGAGGGAGAAGAGAAAGTGGCTACAGGTTGGTGCCTAGTAGGGGTGAGTGGGATGGAAAAGTGCTGTGGCAGCCTGTGGTGCTGGGGGAGCCCAGAGGTGACGGTGATGGAGGAGGGACCCTCAGGCAGGGCAGAGCTGAGGGATGTGAGCGGGTCAGCCCAGGCTGCTGTACGCAAAGGGCAGAAGCTGTGGTGCTGTTTTATCTCTCTCCATCACGCACATCCTTCAAGCTTCTTCCTGCCTATGGGACGCTCAGCCCAGCCGGCTGGGTGTCTCTGAAATGCAGCGGCACCGGCAGGAAGGAAGCGGAGGCAGCTGGAGTGGAGATAAACACTGTTTTGCTCAGCGCAGGCCAGCTTGTACGGCCCCACCAAAGCACTCCCCGGCACCCCACCGCCTACAAAGCCTGTGGAAAGGTGCTTTTGGCCCCTGAGAGCCAGAGCTGCGGAGGCAGGGAGAGGGGTGGAGGTGCAGGAGGTGAGAAGCAGGGGTGGAGAGCATCCTTGCTCCTGGGAGCTGCCTGGCAGGCAGGTAGGTTCCTCCCTTTCTTTTCCCTCCAGCTTGGACACCAGTCAGTGTGGGGCAACCAGCTTTTCAGCAGGCTGAAACACTGGAGAAGAGTTGGGTTTGCTAAATACGGGCAGCATGGGGGACGTAACAGGAGGCAGACCCTTCTTGGCATCTGCTGCCATAGATGATTCCCCCCCCTCCCTGTTTCTGACTCTGTCTGGGTTTTGCCATGCCAGCCACCCTTGGCTGCAGCCTCCATCCCTCCCGGGAGAGAGGCGTCTGCTGCTCGTGAAGGGGGCACGGTGGTTAGCATCCCCTCACCCCAGCTCCTCTTGGGTTTATTTATTGCACGAACATAAGTTATTTTCACGTCCTCTTTGCCATTCCGCCTCTCGGCACAGCCAGGATGTTGGTACAGAGCCGTACTTTATATTTTATATATGCAAATCACATTTTATCTTATACTTATATAGAGCAAAGAAAAATACTTATTTATTTTCTGACTTACAGTATGTGTCCTACCCGACTCCTCTGTATTTTGTAGACTTTGCAAATAAAGCAAGCTCGTTTTTTTTTTTTCCACAGTGAGTGTGTGTTTGGTCATTCTTGAACTTTGGGACGGAGCTCTGTCTCAGTGAGACCAGGTTTTCTAGCTCTCTCTAGCTTTGCTTTAGGATATGTTCAAGAATATGCCCCAAAAAGATGGGATAAGGGACAGCTCATGACTTTTTACAACAAACAGATTTATAGTCTCTGGGCATAGCCCCCAAAGCACTTGCTTTTAGGAGCAGTTCAGCTGTGCTGAATCAGCTTTTACTAGGAAAAATAATACTTTTTCACTAGAAAAATTCCCTCCAGGCTGCCCTCGGACCTGGTGCAGGAATAGAAGCAGGTGCAATCAGGGCTGCTCTACCCAAAACCATCCCTGCTAAGTCACCTCACCACCTGACTCAGGAATAGTAAGGAGGAAAGCAGGGAGCTCACATCTGTGGGTGGCAGAAGGGGAAGGAAGTATGGTAGGTGCCTTACCCAGAGGTGAAGCCCAACCTACTCCCTGTGGGGCAAAGCCATCCTTCCTCAAAGCTGAGGTGGAAGCAACGAGCGTGTTCCCCTGATGCCAAGGCGGGCCAGGTCCCAGCCTCCCAGCAGCTTGCAACGCTCACATGGTGGTTCTGGGTTTTACATTCACGTTCCCTCTTGCCACTGCAAACTGCTCCATGTCCACCACCAGTCACAGAAGAAAAGCCCAGAGCTGCTGTTTGCTGGGGCCCATGTCAGAGAGAGCGGCCCCCTTTCTCCCACAGTTGTTTTGCACTGAGCACCCAAGATCAGGACTCATCTCCACTCCAGGTTTCTGGCAAAAGCTTTTGCTCCTGCCTTGGGCCATCAGTGATGTCTCTGGCTCAGGCTGCTGTAGCACTGCTTCTCCATCAGCTCCTGCATACAGAGACAGCATGAAGCTTTCCTCTCAAGAAGAGGACTAGGACAAGGCACACTGACCCACTAAGCCTCAACCCTTACAATGAGCAAAAACTCAAAATCAGTTCAGAGAAGTCAGTCAGGCAGCACCACACAGAGGCAGCTTAAGTACAATCTATATTATCTCTATATTTTTATTTGTCATCATATTTGCTCATTTCTGCAGAGTATAACGTCACAAAGACCAAAATAGAGAGAGCGGCTTGTCGCTGAGCTCACATCAGTTAAACACGATAGGTACAAAACTAGGTGACTCTGATTTATCATACATTTTTTTTCAGTTGTTTATATACAAAGAACTACTCTATATGGAAAAATAATAAACAAATCCCATAGGTATGTTACATGGTAAACAAAAAGGAAGGAAGGAAGGAGAGGGGAAGCAGGTGAGGGAAGCAGCTCCAAGGGCCTACTCCTGGAACTGACACATTTGTGGGGGCCCTGGGATACCACGAGCAGACCTGCAAGACCACAGATGCCTTGGCCTCCATGGTCTCAAGCTCTGGGTCTTATAAGATATTTGTTCCTCTAAGCCAGAGCAGCTTCAGAGCCAGTCCTCACTCTGGCACTTGCCTATCGTGAGGGAGAGCAGGAAGCTCAGAGATGCGTTTGTATGGTGTTAAAAAATATGTACATATATAAAATTATAATGCATGGCAGCTGACTGTTGTTTGGGCAGTAGTTCTTCAGGCTTCTCCAAAGGCAGCTAGTGCAAAAGGGTTATACTCGAAACCACTACATACAGGAAGCTTTGAGAATATCCAAATCCTCTGCACAGCATGTATATGCAGCATACATTTCAAAGTAATTTTCAAAAACACTTCCCCAAGCCTGGATCACCTGCAAGCTCACCAGGGCAATCCAAGAGATTTCGGACCTCACCCACCCAGTGCAACAAAGACTGGGGACAGTCACCAATTAAGTGACACTGGGACATCATCAAGACCTGTAAATGCAAGGAAAGAGGAAGAAGGGATCACGTCCCATGCTTCACTTTCCTAAGAGAGAGGGGAAATTTAACATAAATATCTCACGCTAAAGGACTGTTAATGAAAGTCACAGAAGACAGAAGGAAAGCCCACTGAGTCTTCAGCCCTGCCTTCCAGGAGGCTTATGGCATGAGGAAAAGGAGTTTTACACCAAGCCCACACAAAACCTGGCAAATAGCGTCCGCATGTCCATTTAAGCAGTGACAGATTTAGGAAAAGCAGTAATAACTGCGTGGCATCGCAGGATGCGTGCAAATGGGGAAATCCAGCAGCAGAGAAGCTGCTGGATCCACTTACCCTGCCTCCAGCTCCCTCAGAGTCAGCATCGTCACTGCCACCTGCTTCACCGTCCCCCAGACACGTGAGTATGGAAGGAGACACTGCCCTTAAGCCTTCCCCCTCTTACCCTCACAGCGGGGAGCAAACCCGCCTCTCTTCAAGCCCTTTTCCCCCCGCTGCTGACCACACACTTCTGGCAGGGGTGCTGATGGAATGAGGTGCTCGTCGCTCACAGTTGCTTCTGAGAAAGTGAACGAGCAAGCATACAGATTAGGATACAAGAGGAAAGGTACGCCAGACCCCAGTTCTCCTAGTAGAGCAACAAGGGGCAATCTGAAAACACGCAGGTCTGCTGAGGGCAGGGTAGGCATCAAGCAGGAGAGGAACAGAGAAACTACAGCCAAGGAGAATTCAGCAGCTTGCTCCAACCTCTCCAGTTCGCTTCCTCCTTGGGGGTAGGAGCATCTGATGTATGGCACTTTGAGTGTGCTCCCCCCTCCTTTCCTAGACAATTTTAAACAAGCAAGAGGCATTTCCTGGTCCCTGGATAGATCTACAGAGGGATCATTTTTATTTTGGCTTCACTAAACACCTAAGGCCCAATCCAAAACCCAACAAAAGCAAGGGGAAGTTTCTTTTCCCACTCCCGTGGATGCTGGCTCCACCCTTGACAGCATTGCAGTTGCCACACAGCCTGTGAAATGTGCAGCAACAGCAGCAACTTCTGCCTGGGAAACCAAGAGGACAATTTTAACCAGCCAGGTCATGTCAGGTTTAAAGTCTGCTCCAG